AACTCCGAGTTTTAATGGTTCACTTTATTCCTCTAGCCGCAAGGTTTGTTTTATGATTTTCTTTTTATGATTTCCCTTCATTTTCTGCCATCGTTTTGAATAAATTACTAAAACTCGAACTAAAAAAAAAACACACGGCACTGCATGCTCTACGATTATGGCTAGCTGCATAATAATGAGATTCACTTTTTACAGCACTATCGCACGGTGAGTCCTGGCCTGATACTGCGGGAGTACGGACGACCCAATGCCGAGGACATCTCGCGCATCTACACCTACAGCTATCTGACGGATGCGCCGCACTATCTGCGCAAGCCGATCGATCCGTATGACAAGACGCCGCTGTCGCCGCACTTCCACCGGCCCTCCTCGTACGCCACCACGGCCAGCAATGCGGGCTCGGTGGCCGGAAGCCGTCCGCCGTCGCGTCCCCACTCGCGGACACGCAGCGCCATGAAGGTTTTGGTCGACGCCATCCGCTCGGAGACGCCGCGGCCCAAGAGTCCCGGCATGAACAACGAGGAGCCCATCGAGCTCTCCCACTATCCGGCTGCCAAGAAGCCGCCGCCGGGCGAGCAGCCCAAGATCGAGCGGGACGACTTCCCCGCTCCGCCGTATCCCTACACGGATCCGGAGCGGCGGCGGCGGTACAGTGATACCTACAAGGGAGTGCCGGCATCGGACGACGAGGAGGAGAATGTGGAGAATGGCAAGCAGAATGGCAAGGTCAAGAATGGCGAGGAGCAGCAGTGAGTGTTGAATGATAGTAAAGATACCTATAATCTTAATTTTAAATAAATCAATCTACCCAACAAAACAGACGCCTTCAACGGGAAGCCGAGCAGCTGGAGAAGCTCAACTCGGGCATCGGTTCGGCGATCGCCAAGGACCTCAAGGAGCACGCCAAGTACAGGAAGTGGAAGCAGAACAACTTGGATCCTCGCAACGCTTCCAGGACGCCTTCTGCTTCCAAGGAGCCGCTGTACAAATTGAGGTAATATATATATAAACTCTGTTTGGGTTTATGTATGTATCAAAATACATACCAAGCTATTATTATTTGCTTTAAATTTAGATTGATAATAGGGATGTCGAAATATTTAAAAATATCGTATCGATGATATTTTTTATTTAAACAAAAAATCAAAATGATATTTGATATATCAGAAAAAAAATATCTATATATCAGATATTTTTGATATTTTTGTTTTATTATTTTTTTTTTAATTTTAAGCTGCATAAGCAATAACCACCAAACATTAACCCCCATACGATCTTAAATTATATTTTTATAATTTTTAGTTTATATATTTTAATAAATGAAAGAAAACAATATTTATTTTGGCTTTCTTTTGCTTTTATTTATAATATTAAAGTCAATTATTTCCAGCGCTTTTTTTTTCTTGAATTCTGAATGCTATGCTATGCATTTTCACTTGCCGAAAAATAAATTTTAGCGTCGTTCATCTTTCACATATGTATTTATTCTTGTCCCGATGAAAAGTGAGACCACTTAAAATTATCAAAAAAATGTGAAAAAAAATCGATGATATATGATAATTATTAAAAAAAAATATCACGATAAAAATATTTATTTTTTCGTAAAAAATATCGATATATTGATATTTTGATATATTTTCGACATCCCTAATTGATAAGATTGCAATCACTTAAGATTGATATAATTCAGACGTTCTACTTATTGAGTTTTAAGTTTTTCTTGCATTTTAGAAATTCCAAACGTAAAGAAAATCGTTTGATTAGCTAATTTAGATTCCCATACCAAATTTCTTATTTATTTACGTAATATTGCACTAAATTTAAGGATGCCCTCTTATAAGAACTTTTCGTATACGTACTAATCCCTAACTATCCCTATTTGCTTTAAATTTTGATCGATAAGATTGCAATCACTTAAGATTGATATAACTCAGACGTAGTTTTTCTTGCATTTTAGAATTACCTGACGTAAAGGAAAACTTTTGTTTAGCTTTTTAAGATTCGTATACCAAATTTCATATCTATTTACTAAGTATGGCACAAAATATAAGTATCCCCCCTTATAAGAACTTTTCGTATACGTACTAATTTCTAACTATCCTATTGCAGATACGAATCGCCCATTGGGGCCTCGCCCTCGCGCAATCTGGACCACCAGAAGCCCTTCTACGAGGACGAGATGTTCGATCGATCCACCAGCTACCGTGGCTCGCTTGGCAAATCGCTGGGAAATGCGCCCAGTTACAATGGTAATCCTCTAGCCAGTATAGAATTAAGACCCGTTTTTCAGGCGAGCGTTTCGAAAACCGATATTATATCTAGCCCAATTACGTTTATAGCCATACATTCCTACCGATCGCCGCCCAAGCCCGGATACGGATTCAAAACGACGACTCTGCCCTATATACGCAATGGCTACAGCTCCGTAAGTGCTGCCTGTTGCTTGAAGAACAGATCATATATATAGATCAGATCCTCGGTGCCGGGCTGTCGGTTATGTCTTGTAGTTTAACCACTCGATCCTATATATAGTGTAATCCCAAATAGTTATAACTTGGTCTGTGTTTGTCTTTCTCTCACTCTTAAATGCTGCCACTGGTTACTCACTTGGATGAACTAACAACTGTTTCGCAAATGCCCCAACTGGTTGGTCTGCTGCTTCATTGTGTGTGCCTTAATCCGTAATCCCCATCCCCGATCCGATCCCATCTATGTGTATGCTATTGTTGCCCTGACAAAACCACAAAACTAACACCCATCCACACTAACCCAACTCGAACATCATCAACATCACTTGAACACCAACTACAGTGGTGAGTGCGCTGCGCCATGTGCCCAAACCAGGATACGGCCTGGCTCCACGCTCCCACACATTCAGCTCCACCACATCCGCTGCGGCCACGATGCATGGTGCCACTGTAAGACCGCTTTTGCTGTTGTTGTTATGCCGTAGAGTCCTTTGAGTCCTGATCTTTTGTTTGGGTACCTTTTTTGGTGCCACCTGTAACTTTGCACTGGTTTTTGGTTTATTACTTTGCATGTTTATCATACTACCCCTGAATAGAAACTAATGTTATGATCTCTTTAAAATAGGACTTTTCTTATGGAGGACTGGGCGACAAAACCCACAGCACAGACTTGAGCTGCGGCAAATCGGAGGGTGAGTTGAATACTCTTTTTCAGGGATCGTAGTTCTTATGATTTTTAAAATAAAAATTATAAATTAATAATTATTTTTCAATTTTTATAACAAAAGTTAGAGAATTAGACTTATTTTTAATTTTTATAATAAAATAATAATAATACTTATTTTCAATTTTTATAATAAAAATTGGAGAATAAGACTTATTTTCAATTTTGAAAATAAAAATTGGAGAATAAGACCTATTTTCAATTTTTATTATAAAAAAAAAGGTTTATCACATTTTTCCATTTTCCGAGCCAAACTAATTTTTTCAATTATTATAATAAAAGTTTGAGAATAAGACTTATTTTCAATTTTTATAATAAAATAAGAATAAGGCTTATTTTTAATTTTTATAATAAAAATAAATAATACAAATTAATTAAATATTTTCAATTTTGAAAATAAAAATTGGAGAACAAGACTTATTTTCAATTTTTATTATAAAAAAAAAGGTTTATCACATTTTTCCATTTGCCGAGCCAAACTAAGTATGTGGTACTTTTCCCATATTTTTTTGACGCTGTTTGGGCCTTAAATTTTTTTAAACTCATAACACTTATTTGCAGTCCCTGCTCTTTTTAGCATTATTAATATCCCACTAATATTTTACAGCCTCTGTGGACTCGATCACCGAGGGCGATAGGCGCGCTCTGATGGGCGGCGATCTGCCCGCCTCGAGCACTTACTCAGGAGCCCTCTCCTACCACTATCCGCAGGCCGGACTCATCCGGCGGAGTCTGCCCAACATGGCCCACTCGATGCTGGTGCATGAGCCGGCCAAGATCTATCCCTATCACCTACTGCTAATCACAAACTATCGTCTGCCCTCGGACGTAGATCGCTGCAATCTAGAGGTAAGTTTATATGATGGATTATCCAAGCAGGTCACTAATCTAATCTAATCTTCCCCAGCGTCATCTGTCGGACATCGAGTTCGAGCACATCTTGCAGTGCGCCAGGTCGGAGTTCTACCGGCTTCCCCAGTGGCGACGCAACGAGCTGAAGCGGCGGGTGAAGCTCTTCTAAGGGCTAAGGGGTTTGGGCCGACGGATCCGAGGATAGCTACCCAAGTGGAGGCTGCTTGCGACGAAACCAAAAGAATTCAACTTACCTTAACAGCAGATGGTTATTACAAAAAACAATATAAAATGAAAACGAAACGGGAAACTATGCTAATTTCACAGCCAGTTTTGAAACACGCTTTAAATAGTTGATGCAAGTAAAACCAACTAAACTAAATTTAAATACATAGTTACATTTACAGTGCGGAGCAGCTAGCGGGCCGCTTCTGTTTATTTTTTTAAGAATTAGTTGCGCTAACGCAAAATTGTAACTGAGAACTATATGAAAGGAACAGAAAATCCCAATAAAAACCAAGTGTATACAGATTTAAATTAGTTAAACATTGCATGTCCGGCATGAACGCTTTTTATACACAGTGCGAGAGCAAATTAAACGCAAACATAAACTGGACTTTCTTTTCTAAATTAAACTTTAATTAATAAAAAATGTTAACGGGCTAAAGTACCGAGAAATGCATCAAAGAATGAGAAATTAATGTACCTACAGCAAAATCACACAGCAAAAGGCGAAACGTTAGATGTGTGGCATCAAATTTACGCTAAATCATTATGCAAATTTTATTTATTACTAAATATTTTATTTATTTATTTAAATAGAATATGTCAAAGAATAAACCAGAGATAATAAAACAGGACAAAAGCAGTGTCAACGGGTTTACAATTATTCAAACATTTCGAGAGTGGCGGTTATAAAATAGCTTAATTCTAGATGGAATTTCTTAAAGGCTTTCTTTTAAAAGGAATTTCTATGGAATGTTATTATCTTAACTTTGTCGAATCGCCAAGAAAGAACCATCTAGGGCTTAATTCGGTGTGTTTTGAGTTCGGGACGCAATATGTGACTGGAATGTAAAGTTCACAGAATAAATACGTAAATATTGAACTAGATTTCACAGAACTTGGAGATTATCTATATTGCACCAATGATATTGCATTAGTTTTGCTTGTGCAGAGCCTCTTCGGTACGCAAACCGTAGGTCAGTTGGGTCTTCATCACCGCCAGACTGCTGCCGATGATCTTTTTGTGGTAAATCTGCCGCGTGACGAAGCCAAAGTCGTCGTAGAAGTCACGCTCACTTTCCTGCCACTCGGACATGGTGCACTCCAGCGAGGCGTAGCCGCCGGCAATGCAGTTCTTGACCACCAGCTTTACCATGGGCTCCATGATCGTCTGGTAGGGATAGTTGGGATCGATGGCAAAGCGATAGATCCAGGCCGCATTGTAGACGGCATGGTGGTTCTTCACACTAATGGCGGCCACAATCCTGCGACGGAATTTCCTCCTATATACCTCCTCATAGGGACAGTTCTCGATGAAGATCTGATAGCTGGCCTCCTTGGGGGAGCAGCGGAAGATGAAGGGTTCATAGCACTCGGCCACCAGGGATTGCGAGGGCTTGGTCTGAATATTAAGTGGGTCAGATAGTTCTATATAGCTCTATATTCATTTAGGACTCACCCTCATCAGCTCCACTGCCTTGGAGTAAAACGAAAAGTATGTGCCGGTGAATAGGCAGAAAATGCAGGCAGGCACAGTGAGGGCGCAGAAGAGCAGGGGCACTCCCAGGAATATGAAGAATATGGCCCAGGTGATGACTATGAACTGCAGCGTGATCTGAAAAGCAGGTGAAAGCCCAGTTAAATCCACTGATCGCAGGCAGATAAGTCACGCAGCCTCACCTCTCGAAAGCAATAGACGAAAAAGGACTTGTTCGAGAACGACATGATGTAGTCGCGCACCAGCTCCTGGCACTTGAGCTCGTCATCTTTCGTGTAGTTGCGTATGACAATAAATGGCTGCATTAAAGTATTATTAAGCTATATTGGCTTGTTCAAACAAAATAAAAATAAAAACACTGCCCAATCAGTGTGTACAAAGCAATGCAAAATACCACTAATTCTTGGGGCGGCACAGCTGTTGCTGCGGCGTTGCCGGACTAACAAAATATCGCATACGGAAAGTTACGGGTGAAAGCGTGAGTGGAGCTATCGTAAGTGGTTGTTTACACCTAATTATTTTATTATTATTAGTAATTTAATATTTGTGTTATTTTCTGTATATCTGTTAAATAAACTAGTTGTTGTTTTTGTATTTTAATATATAGCTGCCTTTTTATGATTTGTATTCGTGAACTATCGTGACCTAGAACTCTCACGCTGCCATCTCCCTTGCCAAACACTTTGACTTCGATCTGGCACTTTTTCTCATGACGTGTCGGCGAGCTTAACTTTGTTAAACAATTACTAGGAAAAGTCACTGCGAATAGCCGAAAATGCGCGACCAATTCATCAGCCTGGCCCTGCTGCTGTGCGCCCTGCACAGCGCCTGCGGCTTGTACTTCCACATATCGGAGACGGAGCGCAAGTGCTTCATCGAGGAGGTTCCGGACGAGACGACTGTGATTGGTGAGCCAGCGCCTAGTGCCAACTTGGTGGTTTTCTAAACAGATTGCTTATCCCTGCAGTGAACTACAAGGTGGAGCTGTATGATCCGCGCTCCAATGGCTTCATGCCCTCATCCCCCGGCATTGGAATGCATGTGGAGGTCCGCGACAGCGACGACAAGATCGTTTTGTCCCGCGTTTACAGCTCCCAGGGACGCATCTCCTTCACCTCGCACACTCCCGGCGAGCACGTCATCTGCATGTACTCGAACAGCACCGCCTGGTTCAGCGGCGCCCAGCTGCGCGTCCATTTGGACATCCAGGTGGGCGAGCACGCCATCGACTACGCCAATGTGGCGCAAAAGGAGAAGCTGACCGAGCTGCAGCTGCGCATCCGCCAGCTGCTCGACCAGGTGGAGCAGATCACCAAGGAGCAGAACTACCAGCGCTACCGCGAGGAGCGTTTCCGTCACACCAGCGAGAGCACCAACTCCCGCGTGCTCTGGTGGTCGCTCGCCCAGACCGTCGTCTTGGTCTGCATGGGCTTCTGGCAGATGCGCCATCTCAAGAGCTTCTTCGAGGCCAAGAAGCTGGTGTAAGGTGCTCCGAGGAGCTCTGGGGGCATCATCATCAGCGTTGTTCCGTGTGTTTTCCCCCCGTCATTGCGGCAGGAATTGCGAATTTCATCGATGAATCGTCATCAACCAACCAGCCAACTGGCCTCTCGACTCCCAAGCACTTCTAGTTTTAATATTTTGTGCGTAATTTAATAAAATCCATTGTACAAAAAGAGACGGCGACCGAGTATGTGCACTAGGGTGGTCCAAAAAATGAAATTCTATTCTCACCCCTTAACACGGTATATTAAAGTAAGCAAAAAATGTATGTGAGACTTAGACCTTGCAAAACGTCTTCAAAGTTTGCTTTAAAATTACTCATACGACATGTATAACAGTTCGAATTTGGTCGAAAAAAATCGTTCTCCCATTTCTTGTCTTGTCAAATTATGAATTTCGTTGGAATAATTGGTAAAAAAAAAGAAGGGAAAAAAGCAGGGACCGTAAATAACAGTTATTTGAGATTTTTATTTTAAAAAGACCACTGTGATATTTTGCTTTAAATGTCAAAAATAACGTTCTTTTTACTCTTGTCCACAAAGTATATGCATGTCAACAAATCTGGAAAGCAAATTAAATGTTATTTGTTCATGTCTATAAAGTGCATAAAAACCAGTTAAATTGTTAATTTAAACTTGTACAAATCTCAGTAGGCCTTTTAAAATAAAAATCACAAATAACTGTTATTTACGGTCCCTGGAAAAAAGTTAACTAAATTGTAGATATGGGTGATAAACTTTGAAGCCAATTCGCAGACCCTAAAACACGATTTTTTCAAAAATGTTCTTTTGGTATACCTTGAATACCTGGAGAGTAGGACCTTAAAAATTCCCATACAAATGTGGACCGCCCTAATGTGCACCCCCACATCCTATCTTGGATGGGTCAGACAACCAGTCATCTGAGCCCGGTCCCGTGACTTCGAGCCACGCTCGGCGGTCTTATCAGCGGTTTCTAGCAGATAACCTGCTGCATCGTGACTGCTGCACCGACTGCCCTTTATCTCACTGTTTGTTCTGGCGGAGAGTACTCTTTTAGTAGCTCTTGGACCGCCCAGAGCAGCGGTCGTCAGTCGCGGCACAAATCCGTTGCTCGAACAATAGAGCCCGTTGTGGCTGTGGCACAGCAAACGCAACCACCGACGACGACGACCCACAAAAGCCGCAGCTCTGTAACCCAATCTGGTCCGAAGCGCTTTCGAGTCAACAACTGGTCCAGGTCTCTGCTCCCTACCTCTCCGGTTCAGTTCGTTCACGTCGGATTAGCCGTGAGGGCTGTGGAAAATGTTTCGCGCTACGGAAATCGGCAGTGAAGAAAGTGAGTCTGCAGATAAGATAAGAAAAGAGCTTCAGGTAATCCCCCTGGGTTTCCCTTTTATTGCATACAGCCCTGCCTGCTCTGGCGGAGCTCAGACAGGTGGGCTACGAGCCGGAGGGACGGGATGTGGAGTGGGGCGGCTGGAGAGCAGAACGGGCCCAGTTGAAGCGGGCGCATCGCAGTTCCCTGCCCAACTATGGCTTTGCTCCGCCGCCCATTCGCATGGAGTACAGGTATCCACGGGCCGTCTTCTTCGTCTTGGCCACCAAGTTCTTTGAGGCCTTTGCAGCTAATGGAATACGCAGTAAGTTGAATGGTTTTGAACCAGAAAGGGAGCATCGGGATGGGTACAAATATTGGGCTTTGTCTGGTCAAAAAATTCCGAAACCCAAGCTTATCAGCGGCACAAAAACACAAATACAAGGAGGTCTTATTGACAGCCAAAAGACCTATGATGCATTCTATTAGGGGCACAGATAAGGTGCAAGAGAAGCACGTTGGATCTGTCGAAAGATTGGGATGTTCATAATATAATTTGTATTCCTTTAAAAGGTAATCTTGTAAATAACGAATGGTTTTGTAATTATTAGGCATCGCATTTTAGGTGAAATCTTTTTTTTTAATATAATTTAAATCCACATTTGATTGGTTACAAATTTTTTACAAGCACCTTTATTTAATCTAATTATAGCTTAATAAATAAAATTTGTAACCAATCAAATGTGGCTTTAAATCGTATTAAAAAAAAAACGATTTAACCTAAAATGCGATGTCTAGTAATAATCGTTATTTTTTACGTATATCAGCACCCTGAATTTTCGAAAGGTTGCTCTTTTGTTTTTTATTTACTCCTGGTATTGTGACATTTCCGCGGATTAAAGGAAATTTTTTCTATACAGAGATGATCTTAAATAATTCCCAAGCATTGTCGAAGTCTCAAGGCGACGACCTTGATTTCATGGTCAATAAATCGAGATTGCAGCTTTACAACCGATTATGTATTATTGAATTTGTTTCCAGCCGTTCTCGCCCTCTATCTTCGCGACGATCTCAACTTCACCGAAAGCTTCTCCACGGTGGTGCTGCACATCTTTAACTTCTTCGGCCAGTTCTGCCCGATCATTGGAGCCATCCTGGCGGACAGCTATATGGGAAATGTGCGCACGATATCGGGCTTCAGTATCATTTACGCCTTCGGATGGTTACTGCTCGTACTGTCAGCCCTGCCCGCCATGGGTCTTCCAATGGTGTTAGTACACACAAAAAAAAAAATGTCACCGTAAAATTGATATGGCCATGTAAATTTCAGGTCATGCAAAACCCAGATCGTTTTTACATGAAATACCCTTTTCGACCAGGTCAAAATTACCTGGCCTCATATCAAATTTAAATTGATCTTAAATAATGTAAAATCGATCTACGTTTCATATCGATTTTTTTTGGGTGCACATGGCCAGGACTTAAACTATTTCTTTAGCTAATCACAGTTTATTTTTTTAGTCTGCTGGTTTCCATCGCCCTCTTATTTATTGCTGTGGGTAATGGATCTATAAGGGCCTGCATCACTTCGCTAGGAGCTCTGCAGTTCAAGCTGCCGGAGCAGAGCGTCCACCTGGCCGAGTACTTCTCCTTCTACTATTTCGTCTATTACTCTGGCATCTTCCTGAGCAAAATCCTTCCTCCGCTGGTGAGGGCCAACACGCAGTGCTTCGACAAGGCGGAATGCTATCCTGCAGTATTCGGAACACTGGGCAGTGCCTTCATGATGGCCTGGAGTAAGTATTTATCAGTTTTCATTAACTACTTTTATCTTATTTATATCTATTTGTGACACTAGTTATCTTTCTGGTTGGGAAGTGCTTCTACAAGTCCGAGAAGCTTTCCGACGACAATATTCTCTTCAAGTTCTGCGGCTGCATTAAAACCGCTCTGGTGGAGAAGTGGCGACGTCGCAAGTCCCCGAAGCGCTCCAGCTACTGGCTACACAATGCAGTTGGTGCCTACGACGAGGAATTCGTAAGCGATGTCTCCAGGGTTTTAAGGGTGAGATATTATTATTATAGCCAAGGGTATATTGTATTCGTGCAAAAGTATGTAACAGGTAGAAGGAAGCGTTTCCGACCCTATAAAGTATATTCTTGATCAGGGTCACTAGCCGAGTCGATATAGCCATGTCCGTCTGTCTGTCCGTATGAACGCTGAGATCTCGGAAACTACAAAAGCAATAAGGTTGAGATTTCCAACACGTATTCTTGGGCTTCCTACGCAGCGCAAGTTTATTTCAGCCGAGCGCCACGCCCCCTCTAAAGCCCACAATCGCCCACTAACGATTTAAAAATGTTTCTGGCGCCCACACCTTTAAAGATTTCCGAGAAGTATAAATGCAATTTTGTTGTGTATATTTATACCTATCGAAATTTAGAAGACATTTTTCAAATCGGACCATTCATTAAAAAGTTATGCGCAATCAAAGAAATTTTAGTGAGTGACGGGTATTAGATAGTCGGGACACCAACCCGACTATAGCGTTCTCTCTTGTTTTAAATGTCTACTTCAAGTAACGAAACCCATTCTTTGGTTATAGATATCCAAGCTTTTCATACCGCTGCCCTTCTACTTTGCCCTGCTGGCGCAACAGGACTCCAGCTGGACCTTCCAGGCCACCCAGATGAATACAACAGTATTGGGCGTGACCATCCAGCCGGATCAGGCCAAAGCCGTGGGCCCCATCTTCCTGTTCATGCTGATTCCTTTGTGGCAGTATTTAACCGTGCCTCTCCTGCGTCGCTACTTCAACTGGGAGCTGCAGCCGCTCCATAGTGTGACTGTGGGTGGTATATTCTCTGCAGGCGCCTTCTTCTCTGCGGGAGCTGTGCAGGATCGCATAAATGTGAGTAATTAAATACTTCCTTTGATGATTGCTTAACCCGTCTTGAAGAATTCCCCGCTCCAAACAGTGAATATTGCCTGGCAGATGCCGCAGTTCCTTCTACTCATGATGGGTGAACTGCTGCTCTCCATTCCGGGTCTCCAGTTCGCATTCACCCAAGCGCCGACCTCCATGAAGTCGGTGGTCACGGCTTCCTGGTTCCTCAACAATGCCTTCGGAAATCTCATCGTGGTTGTGGTCACCGAACTGGGTTTGCTGAGCTCCCAGATGGCCGAATACTTCTTCTACGCGGTGGTCATGCTGGTCTGCATTATCCTCTACGCCCTGCTGGCCTTCGATTACACGCTGCAGGAACGCAAAGGTGGGCTGTATGTGAGGGGAATGGACAGCGATCCCGAGGAGCGGGATGTGCCGAGCACTAGCCGCAGCGGCAGCATCTAGAATAGGTTCTATTCTCTAGTATTTCCATTAGAGCCCTGCATGAATGGATTCAATGAATTATTTTAAATTTGAATTTTGAGTTTAATAGAATTATTAAACGACAATTTCTTTTGAAGAAGCAAGGGCCATAATTTTGTGATTAAATCTGCCTGAATTTTATTTACTATGCAGTTAACATTGATTTGATAAAAATTTTTTACTTTTTGTTCTCAAAAGAAAGCACAAAAAACAATTTGGCAAATTCAAAAAATTCATAAAAATTCGAAATGAATTAGAAAAACATTCAATTTATTTCACATATAATTTAATTAAATAACTCAAAAATTTCATGGCATACTATGATAAAACAAAAATTGAATGATTCACACAGGGCTCTAATTTCCATTGCACTTGTAATTTATTGATAAACGCACAGACAGGCAAAAACACGCATTTAACTGAAAAATAAATAAAAGCTAAGCAACTAAATCAGTCAGTCTATTATCTTGAAAATGTACTGCAGCTCCAGGTTGGAGTCTTCCGGCAGATCGGTGCAGTGGACGGCGTTCTGCACCTTGGACTTGCCGAACTTGGCGCGCAGCGTGTGCGGTCGCAGCAGCTTGGCGATCTCGGGATCCATGGGTCCGCAGAAGTTACGGAATTCGAGATTCGCGTTCATTTCGGGATCGGCGCAAGCTATCTCCATGCACATGCACACTCCGCTGGCCAGCTGGGCCACCATGGGGATATACTCGGGCAGGACGCCGCGGTAGACCTCGTAGAACTCCTCGCAATTGATGCGCGCCATCAGGATCATGCGCATGGCGGTCAAACGAAAGCCGTTGGCCAGGATCTCGGCAATGATGTCGCCCAGGAGACCATCCTTGATGCTGTGCGGCTTGATGATGGCCAGCGTGGTGTTCTTAAACACACAATCCTTGATGATGCTGTGCCGCGCCTCAAAGAAGAACTTGAGGTCCATGTCCACATCGTCGTCGTTGTCGGAATAGTAGAAGCCATACCGGATCTCCTCGCTCTCGCACAGCTCCTTCAAACTCGGTGACAGCTTCACATTGGGAGCCTCCAGCTCGGAGCTCTTGTAGCGGGCGCAGGCCTTAATGGTCTCCACCACATTGTCGCCAATCAGCTCCAGGCTAATGGCCGGACCCGCCAGCAGCTCGTTCATCAGCACTCTGGGATTGGGTGGTTAGAATATATACCTTCTTAGACACTTTAACTTTACTCACGAGGAGGAGACATCTGTTTTGTCCTTGCCGGACAGGAATTGGGTGACCATCTTGGGGGAGAACTGCACCATCATGCCCTGGTTTATGTTGATCTTGTTGTCGATCAGCGTCTTGAGGAATTTGCCCAGGTGCTTGGTCCACATATTGTTCTTGAGCAGCACGAAGCCCCTGGAAGGGATAGGGATTAGTAACCAAGGAGGTGTATAGCAGATAGTCCCTACTTCTTGCGGTATCTGGCCAAATTAGTGCGCGTGGTGTCGTCTGCATAGTCCACAATGTCGAATTGCCGGCCAAACACATTGATCTTGGAGCCCACGAAGAAGTCGCGTTGTGTCAACTCCGGAATCTTGGTGCGCCGCAGGAAGGTGCGCTTATTCCGCTGGTCAAACTGGGGAGTGGGAATACATAAGATAAGCCTGCTAGCAAGGAGGAGCACCCAGATCTCACCACTTCCACCGCCTTGTCGGAAACATAGTAAGTGATCAGGAAAGTGCGGATGATCCCGGCCTCCGCGTGGTACCACTCGGCCACGAAGGCCAGTCGCCGCTCGCTCGGCGGAATCCCAGCGGGTTTCATTTCTGGGTTTACTTTAGGAGTTCTCAGTGAGTTTTCCTTTCAAACGCTTGACAGCAAATCCTTTAATTCGAGTGAAAACTGTTTGTTTGCTTTGCATTTTTAAGTGTGCTTCTTCTTTCCCGCGTTGTCACAGTAACAGCGTTGCCAACACAATGAAAAACCGATTAAAGAGCGCGAGATTTAAATTATAAATTAACAACCAACTTTAAACTTTACTTCTTTTTTTTAGTAGTAGGAGTTCCATGCAATAACTATTAAATTTGATATATATATTTTAGTTCATTTCATTTAAATAATTTATAAATACCTTTTAAACAGAGAAGATTAATAAATTTTAACTGATTCCAGAACTTTCTCCCTCTCCCATACAAACTTACAATTTCAAAACCCTTGCTTAAGTTTTCCATTTTTTTATTGTAATTTCCTTTATTTACAGGAAACAAAAATAATAAACTGCAAACTGATTTTGCAATAAATTGGTTGTAGCTTTCCTCTGGTTGTTAAATTCTAGCGTAAAACTTATGGTTTCCCTTGTCGGCGCCAAATCATCTTGTTCCTTGTGTTGCTTCTTGTTAACATCTCTCCTCTGAATACGCATAATATTCAGCTAAATTAAATGTGGTTTTCTTTGATTGGAATAGTGTGTTATGTACGCATGCGTTTTGTGGATGTTCTTATGAGTGATTGAGTGTTCTTTTCTTTTCTTTTTGTTTCCTTGGGTGTGTGAGGAGTGAGTGTTGTGATCGTGTGTTGACTTATGGTATAAGCGCCACGGCTAACGCTACGACTACGCCAAAATGCTAGACACCATCCGAGCGGCCGTCTAGGCAGCTGGCTTCTTCTCCTTGTCCCCCTCGCCGCCCTCCTCATCGTCCTCGTCGTTCTGGGACAGACTGGGGATGTTGTCGTCCGAATCCTCCTCCTCATCGTCGACGTTGAAGTCGTCGAACTTGTTGTTCCAGTCGCCACCAGGGCTGTTCAGGAAATTGCCAAACATGCCGTTGTCTTTTTGGTCACCTGGTAGATGGATAAGTGGATTAGTGGGATGTCAGGAGGAGATCGAGCTGCACAACTTACCCTCCTCGTCATCGGACTCATCGCGCCACTTGGCAAAGTTGGCCTTGAGGAAATGCAACTTGGTCTTGTCCGAGGTCAGCGAGGCCCAGTAGGGACCGGCCGTCTTCTTGGGTATTGTGAATTCCAGGCAGCGGCCGATGTTCTTGCTGGTCACCTTCTCGGGATCCACCTCGTGTAGGAAGTTCAGTGTGACCTCGTACTTCTTCGACGCATCCAGCACGTTGACGCCCTTGAAGGTGAAGGTCTTGTCCGTAACTCTGTTTTGGGATGCAGATGGGGGATTAGGAGATCTGCTGGGATTACATATATATACACCTACTTGTGTTCGATGTCCTTGCACTCCACATCAATGATGACGTAGACCAGGTCGTTGCGCTGGGCCCATGAAACTGGAGGCGGAATCAAGCTGGAATAAAAGAAGAGTTCGGTAAACATAAATAAGAGGTTTCGGTTGTCAGAAGGGGGTGGGGGGGTGCCATGGCAACTCGCGTCGTATTTTCTGGAAGCGGGTGCTTGAACTATGCAAATTCCATCGAATGTCCATTTGCATAGGCGCTGCGCCCAGGCGAAAGTCCATGCCGAAAATCCACGGCACTAGCGACCAACTTAAACATAACCTCAAAAGCTGGGCCCTCCGATTAGCCCCGCAAATATCGCAATGCAGATGCGCACGGGACACGCCCACCGCAGCCACAACGCCCCGTTCGTTGGATGCCCTGGAGGATACGGTGCAGCCGCCGCGAAAAGAGGCGTTTTATGGCCAGGAGTCCCGAAAATGGACGCCGCCGTCGCCGCCGCCGCAACAAAGCACGCGACGCACAAAGAAGCCACAAAAAGATGGGCCGGATAAACCGAATTAGCCGGGGATCCCCGGCCGAAGACTCACCCTGCTGCTGCCGACATTTTGTTGCTGCTGCTACGATTTGCTGGTTTACAATTAACGGAGCCGGAACACTTCTGACTGACAGCCTGTTTTCGTTACAAAAAAAGGCAATTTCAGTTGAACAAAATTGTCATGCACAAAATTGTCATGAGAAACAGAGTGACCGAGGATGGTTTGGAAATGTTCCTAAAAATGGCTGTTCAATCCGCCGGGGTGGAAAACTTGACTACGGTTTTAGTGGGCACACAAACCTCTGAAGATAACCGTTACATGTAAAGTATTTTACATTTTACTTGTTTCAAAAAACGGTATTCATATATTTTCAAACTTAAAATTGAAAAATTCTTTATAACTGATGCATTTTCGACCGGTTATTATTAGGGTTACACAGTGGTTTTATTAATATACGTATTTAGGTTTTGATTAAATATACAAATTGGTTACATTTTCCCAAATTTTATAATAAACATTAATTTTATTTTAATTGTTTTAAAAAACGGTATTCAAATCTTTTCAAGCTTAATATTGAAAGAAAATTTATATAACGGATGCATTTTTGACCGGTTATTATTAGTTTTATTGTTATACGTATTTAAGTTTTGATTAAATATACAAATTGTTTACATGTTTCCCAAAATTTATAATAAGCATTAATTTCATTACCAAATCCGGCAAGTTTCGGCCTTAGGTCGCATTCCACTTCCCACGGAGCAATTGTAGGCCTGGAAAAAGTCCTCGCTGTTGGATACGACACCCAGGATCCGGTACTTGTCGATGGTGTGTTCATTGGTCAGGTCCTTCCAGTAGTGCTCCTCCTCGTATTCGGAGCAGAATACCTGGGCGAAGCCAAGGAAGAAAAGCTGATCAGGGGTGAGCTCTAGACCTGGCATCTGTTCGCTGATCCTCGCCTGATCCGGATCCTCCAGCAGCTGCTTCTTGTGGCTGCGGTAGGCCGCCAAAGCCCGCCGCAATCCGCCATTATCGGCGATGTTCTCGTCCATTGTCGTCTTTCCATTGAGACGGCGGTTAATCTCCGGTATCACGTAACCACCGTAGTGATCCATATAGCACTCGGCGCGTTCCTCGAAATCCTGTCGAGATTTCTCCGACCACCAGGAGCGAAGGTTGCCACTGCCGTCATAATAGGAGCTGGTTGTGTCGAATCCATGAGTCAGTTCGTGGCCCACAGTGAAGCCCAAGGTGCCGAACTTCAGGGGAAGTGGCCAGGATCGGTGATAGATGGGCGGTTCCAAAAGCCCAGCCATTACGTTAATGGAGTTATCCAACATCCAATAGACCGCCGAAACTTGCATTCCCAGCAGCATCGTCTGGGGTTTGGTATCGTTAGCCAGTTCCTCAAAATGCCGGCTGCTGAAGCGTTCGATTTCGACAATGAGGCGCTGCAAATTAATGTTGGTCAAAGCGTAGCTTTCATTGACGACTTTCAGGCTGCCGATTTTCCGTATCAGACGATCGGATCGAGAGTTATCCTTGAAGGAACCGATGCGAGTCTGAATTCCCGACTCCTTGAGCAGAGCTTCCTCGCGAGTTTCCTTATCCAGCCACTCGGCTTCTTCGAGCGACCTTCGAAGGCTCTTTCTCAGTTCTTGGATAATTTCCGACACTTCCAGCCTTTTTTCTTCGCTAAAGTTATTCTGTAAGGTTAAAATATATAAAATATTTTAAAAAAAATTTAATGAGGATAAGAAAACCCACCGCCATATAGAGTTTGTTGAAGAGAAAGGACATGGAGGTCACTAGCGTGACGGCACAATAATCCCTTTGGTACTTGGGCGCCTTCAGTTTAGGATCCAACTTGTAGAGCAACTGCATGGCCAGGTAGTTGGCCACTGCCTCAGGATGTCTTTGACACACCTTGTCCAGCTCGATGTAGTAAAAGTCGCAAAACTTTTTGCTGGAGACATGGAGTCCGTTCCATGAGATATCATAGTAGTGTCTCCACTGGGGAAACTCAATCTCAATCGGAAAAGGATAGAAAACTTCGCACTGCTGAGGGACTTCGAGCGCTTCGCGCCAAAAGGCAAACACCCCGGCAATCACTTCATCAATTTTATCATCCGGAAGATTAAAAGCCTTCAGGTATCCACGCATCCGCTCCTCATTAAGTTTATAAGCTCGGGAAGAATTACTAGCGAAATTGACCTCGTTAACGATATGATCGAATCCCAGTTCGGGCAGTTTGGTGTAGGGCTCAAAGGGATAAGCTGCCAAGAGAGCTTCGCGGATTAGTCCATTTGCTCCATAGTTGGTTAGGTGGGAACTCATATTAAACCAACTGAAGTTGGAGGCACTCCAGGCGGCTCCATCGACGGCGGGAAAGCCTCCGATCGACCGAATAAGATCCAAATAAGCAGGATCGGCTGCATTGGACGGATAGAGCTCTGCTCCCAGACAGGCGTTGTGGAATCGCTGGGCCACCATCAGTTCGCTGGACACATTGAGAGCCTCCGCCAGATCCATCCTGCCCACCAGTTGCTCCGCAATGTCACTCAGTGTGTAGACCACATCGGCGAAGGTGCTCCGCCGGTGCCAGGAATACCGATCTGGCTTCACCTTTCCATAATTTCCGCAGGCGTACTCATAAAAGTTGTCACAGGGCGCCACACTTAGATTCATGTAGGATTTCATTAGATCTGAATAGATTTGCAGGTAGTCAGCCGTCGGCTTATCATTGCTTTCGGAAATATCAGGTGTATCCATCACACTCCTGGCCTCGCAATGCATGAGGATCGTATAAATAAGGACAACCCATAGTAAGGTAAGCGAAGAAAAATACATTTTGAAGCTAAACTAGAATTATACCCCGACTGTCCGATTTAAAACACAATTAGAGACTGAGAGCATCCCCAAGAAACTGGCAATTAGCTATAATTTATTTCGAAAGCTTACCTAAGCAAGAGAGCAGTGATCGAGTGATTACAAAACGCTTATCAATTTAAATGTTTGTCGGTTTGGATTATTGATAAGACAGTGACTTCAGTTTATATTCTTTTTTAGGAATAAAATATTTTCAGAAAATCAGCACACTTTTAAAATATTATTAATGATTTTTTATTAATGATGATTTAATGATTTTTTTCTGTACAAAACAAGCTAAACAATCGAAATTGATCTTATCTGAATTAAATTTAGTTAATTAGAAAATCAGAATCAGAAAACGCTTATCAATTTAAATGTTTGTCGGTACAAATAATAGGTATTCTGCCTTGGATTATTGATAAGACAGTGATTTCAGTTTATATTCTTTTTTAGGAATAAAAAATTTTCAGAAAATCAGCACACTTTTAAAAGTATTATTCATGATTTTTAAAGTTAGAGGCATGTTTTCTGTACAAAAGAAGATAAACAATCGAAGTTTATCTTATCTGAATTAAATTTAATTAATTAAACCATCAGTTTATGTTCAAAACAAAAGAATAAAACGAATTTGGCGGCTTACATTTGAATAACTGCATAGTTGATTCACAATAATAAACACGATCAACGGACTTGAGTCTGTTGCCTTGGTAACTTGGCGCGTATTCTGCCTGTTTGTTCAATGAAGTTTTCAGCTTATTCCGTTTCACCAAGGCGAAAAGTTGTGCAACGCGGAGAAAACATACGAAATCGCAGTAAATCTATAATGATTTTTGATTAGGTGGAGCTCCGGTTTTTTGGTGATTTTGAATTTTGCCTAGAGTTTTTGGCGCAATGTTCGTGCAAAAGAAAAAGTTGGTCGAGCATGTTTTGGCAATGCGCGCCGAAGGGGGCAGTAGTGATGATGATGAGGAGGAGGAGGACCAGGGCGACATTTTGCAGGTGCAAATTCAATCACTAATTACTAATGCTAATGCTAATTAGCCCCTATCGAATGTTGCCTTAGAAAAACCCCATAAAAGTAACCTGTAATGCCCTAGATTCCAAAACCTAGAAGCCCTTTGACTGATTACGTAATCGCAAAACTTGCAAGTTGCAAATCTTACTGCGTGTGTAAATTGCTCTTCATGTAATATCGACCTAATACACTTGTTTTCATTTCTTTTTAGCTGAGTATAACCCATAAGCCACCTAAATGCAACTATAAAGAACTTCACTCCCCGTTGCTGCAAATCCAATCCTAGTAAAATATTACGAAATCACCGTTCAATAAATACTACTGTATAGCATTTGAAGTGCACCGATTTATGATTTTAATTTTTGGTATTATATTTTATTGTCATGCTATATAAGTACAAATGTTGTAGATTTTTGAAAGTAGATTGTTGGCTTTCAACTATTAAATAGTTGAAATGCATTTTTATAATATGTTTACTACATATGTGCCATTTTTGAAACTAACGAATTTTTGGTCTATCCCATTTTTGAATTTTGCAAAACGAACATTTTGTAATCAACAAATTGATTTACAACATGAAATCAATTATACATTTTTGTACAATCAAAAAATAAAACCACTACCGCACTGCAAAATTTTGATCCTTAAATTATCCTTTCTGGAAATCAAACGGTCTGACGCATGTCGGTCTGTGGCCCGAAAATCCGGCAAATTTAACCGTAAACCTGCAAAATGGACCCGGACGAAGCACAGCGCCGGCGGGAAGAATGCGAGCGAAAGGCCCGTCGTGGGGAGATGGATCCCCGGCTGGAGTTCACCTTCCAGCTCCTCATCGATGCCACCCAGCTGCCCAGGCATCAGCTCATGGACTACATATTCGAAGGGGACATGGTAGGCTATCGTATCACTTGCTTTCTTGCATCTCTAAGGTCTTTCGTCTAGCTCGATGAGATCAATCAGCTGTTCCTGCCGAACATGAAGAACAAGCTGCTGTGGTTCTACCAGGAGACGGATGACCCCGAACCGACGCCGGTTCCGGATCCAAATAAACCGGGACCCTCGCGATCTGGAGTAGCTTCCAGTAGCTCCAAGACGCCACAGGGTAAGTTTTATTTATTATTTCATTATTATTATTTATTATTCTGTGTTAAAGTTAATTAAAATTGTAGTCAATTTATTTGTGTGTACCGACTGTTGTAATTTTACAGTGCGTTATTTCACAGAAAAAGGCTATTGCTCTGTGTTCCTGATATCTGTTTTTTGTATATCAACATATAGTGACGTTTTTTTTACATGAATGTGAAATTTAAAGTAGAACTTAAACTCTGAATAACTTTTTCCACGATAATTTACAGTGCGTGTGGCGGCAGAGCACGGGTAGATCAAAAATGTTATTCCACAGAATAAGGCCGTTGCTCTGTGTTCCTGGCATCTGTTATTTGTATATCAATATATAGGGAGGTTTTTTTTAACTGAATGTTAAATTTAAAGTAGACTTTAAACTCTAAATTACCTTTTCGCCGATCTATTTCCTTTTCAGGTGGTGCCTCTCCGAGTGGAATGCCTCCCCCCAAACACAAGAAGTTGTTTCTAACAGATGGATGGACTTGTGCCTTTACAGGAGTTTGTATTTATATATTTCGGGTGAATACGTCTAAGCAGCTGCCCGAGGAGGGATTTCAAAAGGATTTGTGAGTTGTTCAATTAAAGTTCTGTTAGAATAATATCTAAGACTTAATGAAACTTACAGGTACTGTGGAGTGATTGATGCCAAAAACATCGGACTGGTTACCTCCATCGAAAGGATAGTGGAATTTGTGTTCATGCAGGCTTTGGCTTTTCCCAGTCTGGAGGGCGACGAGGAGGACGTGAGCTGCGGTCTCATCAAAGGACAACTCCTGCCCGGACTGCGATCCTTTTGCAGTGCCCTTCGCGTCTGCGAGCAGGTGTGCGATCATCACAATGTCTTTGCCGACGGCTGCGACATGTTCGAGAAGATCGACGAGGTGGAGGAGGTGAAGGACATGTCCAAGAACCAGGACTTTTGCGGCCAGCTCGAGGAGCGCGTGAACAACTGGACGAAGGGCATACTGAAGATTCTCGGCGAGAGCGAGCAGCTGCGCAAGGAGAACGACCACAGTGGGCCGCAGGACGAGCTGGAGTACTGGAAGAAGCGAGGCGCCCAGTTCTCGCAGCTCCTGGCCCATCTGCAGGACAAAGAGGTACAGTTCACGCTGCACTGCCTCTTCTTGGCGGGCTCGAGGATCATCAAGCAGTGGAAGGAGACGGACCGCAAGATCACCTTCTGCTACAACGAGGCGCGCGACAACTCCAAGTTCATTCAGGCCATGGAGACGTGCTGCCACTCGCTTTACCTGGACGATCCTGTCAGCATGAAGGAGTCCATCCTGAGTCTGCTGCAGACAGTGCGTCTGATCTACAGCGTCTCTCAGTTTTACAATACGTCTGAAAGGACTTCCGCTTTAATGGTTAAGGTGAGATAGTTTTCATTTATACATCCATGGAATGATTATAAGGTCCTCTATACCAAGTTAATTATTGTAAATTTATCTAAGAGAGCCTGAAAGGCTTCTGTTTTGGGGACTAAAGTTAATATATAACACAAAATAATATAAAAGTACCTGTACCTGTCAGTTGAAATACAAGTAACATTTTCTAAACGTTTTAAATTTAAAGTTCTTCAGTACTTGTGTTTACGCCCCCCCTTTTTCTCACTTTATCTGTAAGTGTTTTTTATTGACTTTAATTCCTTGAACATTTCGCATCATACTTTGACTAGCCGTCATGTCCTTGACCTTTTACTTGAGTTATAAACCTGAAGGTCGAAACACTCCACTGGAGAGCTAGCCTTTTCTATTTGTACGGCAAACATTTTTCTTGACTTTTAAAGGTTTTCAAATTTAATCCCTGTTCGTTAATTTAAATAGGAGAATTAACTTTTATTAACCTTTAACCGTCTTCATCAGATAACCAACCAAATGATTGAAACATGCAAGTCGTACATCACCTGTCGGTGCAAGGAAACGATTTGGTCACAGGATCGCAACGTAATCCGCACCAAGCTGAGCAACTGCATCAAGTTGAATCACATCTATCACGAGACCTACTACACAGTCAGGGAACAGCCCTTCCTGCCGAATCAAACGCCCTTTGGATTCTCAGAGAACTTTGTATTTGGTGAGACAAAAAATTAAAATATAAATATGCAATATTAACACTAATTAAATATTAACTTGCAGGCAAATTTGATACATTTTGCGAGCGGCTTTCCAAGATCATCAGCATGTTCAATTTGATCGATGATTACAATCACTTATTTGAGCGTCGGCTGGAAGGACTTCTTTTGGGCGAAGCCTTGGAGGATGCCTCCAACCACTTTGAGGAGGCCAAAAAGGATGTGACCTCTCGGAAGTACGACTACTTGGATCACCGGAACTCAGACTTCAATGTGGATTTCGAGAGATTCATTCACAAAACAAACTCTTTGAAGGACACCATAGCCACGCTGATCGAAAAGGATTTCGACACCGTTTGGGAGACGCCGCAGTGCATCCGATTTCTGGTGCGATTCGAGAAGGTCAGCGAGAAGATTCCGCTGACCAAGATGGACGAGAAGTACACCCGAATTCTGCGCTACGTGGAGAAGGAGGTGGATCGCATCCTGAAGACGTTCCGCAAGCAGCGCGACGATCCTCCACTGGCCAGGAACTTTCCACCCATCGCGGGAAGAATTCACTGGTGTCGCGCCCTCAGTCTGCATATCACAGAGCTCATGGATGCTGTGATGGACCATGCTGTTCTGAGTAATCTACCCATGGCCAAGGATCTGGATGTGCGCTATCACAATGTGCTGGGTGTCCTGCAGGAGTACGAGGACGAGATAGTGTCCATTTGGCTGGATCAGGATGTCAGCGTGGCCGATGCCTGCCTCCTGCAGCCACTC